GGCCTAATGACCCAAGAGAAAGCCTTGACGAAAACTGTGTAAGTCCGTAAACAAGTATGGTTGAAATAATGAGATATCAGCTCGTAAGCATGAAAATAAAGTTACGAAACTATTTGTCCTAACCTTTCACTCTAGGGTCATTAACGTTTAGCCCCTCAAGGAAAGGCAAGAATGGGTTTGCATAATCTGTCATGTTTGGTTTGGTTGATGAGCTTACTCTAACATTTTGGACGAATTTGTGTAAAATTAGAACCATACCGAGCAGATAAATTGAGTCGCCTTCTTTTTGACGGCGGCTCTAGCTACTTAAGTATACAGGATATAATTATATAGAGGGACAAGATGAGTCACTGAGTAGGGGTGGGAGGATTGATTGGCCTGGCGTATAGTTAGGGACCCATAATATCAAATGACTTTTGAGTAATGCATTAACATAAAAGGTGTGCAGTAACCCAATGTAAAACGAATTAACATTGCCGGTCTAGTTCACAGGACGCTATAAAAATACAGCTAAATCCTTATTAATTTTACTTATCTTTGATAAAGCAAGGTTATATTTTATATAAGCGGCAAAATTTTGGGATGTCCCATTAAGATAATAAAATAAGTTTATCAAAAGTAGGTCAGATTTAAACTTGTCGAAATTTATCGCTTAATATTCGAAAAATTTCGTCATGAAATGGTTTCTCGGTCAAGAATTTTTCATCATATGACGGACAAAAGATCTGTAAGGTCTCTTTGGGCTGCATAGCGGTTCTATGGTCACATAAATCAGAGTATCTCCAAACCAATCTTTTTCGGTTTTCGGTGAGACCGATTTAAGGATTTCCTTCGTTTCACTCATACAAAAGAAAAAATAAAATTGTTTAGGCATGGTCTGATTACCTTCTTCCACATTTTGTTGAAAAACAAATACGTTCTTTCTAATGTGACTATTCAACATCCCCATACAAATTTATGACTAAACGCATATTTTTAGACACTAGCAACTTTTATTGTCATTCATGCAACATTTTCTTTAACTATTTCCTGAAGCCAAAACATGCTTCTTATCTTGTCAAGAAGCGTACTGGTTATTCCTTAAGTGCCAACGTGCCTTTGCTGATGACATTATGCTGGCATATATGAGCTCAGTTGTAACTTTGTAGCTTGTGGCGACATAACCATGGTGGATAAGCCCTATATCCATAAGCCGAGTCCGAATAACTCACTCTAGATTCGGCAACCCGATAACCTAGTTAAATATAGATTATTTCTATGAATAACTAATTTGCGAGTTATCTTAATTTTAAAGAACAAAACCCTTCTGTAAACATTTATGAGCTCTTAGACATCTACCCATCCCACGGAATCCAGTGCTTGAATTAAATTTGCAGCTCATTAGAGATTTGCTTTACATAAAATTGCTAGGCGACTTTATTGTTCATAAATCTTTCATAGAATATAAAAGCTAACGCTGGAGTTATTAAATCTAAAAAAGGCCAATTCATTAAATATATTATGAACTAACCAGGTTGAAGCTTAGATTGTATGTAGACGTAATGCTGTATCGAATGACAAATGTCACCCCTTTTTTATTTTCCACGGTATCCCAAGAGGACTATTTTTGATACATTTATGTTTCTAGGCTACGAGAGGGCCCAGGATAAACAGATTTTATCTGGCCGATTATTCACTTGTAAATCGCTAGATGGATTAGATCCCACAATTCATACGAAGATAGCAAAATCTACAGGGACATCGAATCCCCAACCAGATGCTTTAAATCTGTTACAGAAAGAACACCGTCGATAGCATCCCACATTTAAAGATAGTCAATACTTGTTTACAATCGTGAATTGTTTTAGTGATAAACATAATCAGTGTTAATCTAGGTAGTCAAGGTCTAAATAGTCAAACGGCGTCTTACAATTTAGTTTCATAGCTAGCACTTTAACAATTATCGTAAGAGACGAAGGCAAGAACTTTTATTGGGCGGCTCGAATTCTCTCAATTGTAGAGGCACTGATAGAGGGAAGCATATGATGCAACCAAATAGAGATACCCGCTTTGAGTTCCCGGCTATCGGCGGGCTGTTATTTAGGATAATTATAAAATATGAAAAATTTGGTAAGAGTATTGACATTATTACCTTTGCTCAGTTGACTCAGAAGATGCGATGCTGTTATATTGGTTGGAGAAAATTGTAATTACGGCATTATATTATCATATATCAAATCCATATATATTTTGACAGGAAATTAGGTATTTTTAAATCATGTTTTGTAATGAACACAGCTTTGCTTATGATTTGTAAGCGGAAGTCTTTAGCAGTGTATATTCCGCCATCTTGAGTTATAGACAATATAAACTCCTTGTGTTAGGCCTTTAGCTCTTTTTAGAAACTTAATCCCAAATATATTCAATGGTAAACTAACTCCTCACGTGTCCGTGATCGAAATGGAATCTCTATATGTGATCTTATCCATTTATATTCATGCATACTGGAACAAATCATCTGCCAACGAGGCGTCATTAAAGCAAGGGATCAAGTATGTGGTGTACCACTTTCGGCTTGACACTATCAGTGCACTTCATGTGTCCTCCTCTCACTTCGTTAAGCTGATTATCGCGCCTATAACTGGCGAAGTCGAATGGGATGCCATTGAAACATTTGAGACGTCGCCAAGTCAACGGCTCACTATTTGCTTTCCACATATATTTTCACTACTTTGCATAAGGTAATCACGAATTATTAGTTTAATTTAACTTTAAATAGTCTCCATAAGTGTATTCATATTCAGGCTAGCATTCAGCTGTGCTTGATATCGCAGCTCACTTTATATGTAATTACCTTTTTGGAGGCAGATATAAGTGCAAATCACTGGCATCATAAGTCGTATTCATATAATTCTGGAAAAATTTAGCTATAAACTCTTAATCGCCTTGTGAAATCTTTAATAAACATAACCCCCAGTCAAGAGCTACCTTAGTAGCTAAGACTACTTAAAATGAAAATCAATATGCCATTACATATTTGGTACGCCCGCAAGATATCAGAGGAATTAATAGAAAAAATATTTTAATAATTGATATATTTTATTATTATCGTTTTAACATGATTTTAGAATTGAACAAACCACTTGGTCATTTTTTTATGCTTAGCTAAGATTTTAACAACATAATCCTTTCAGATATTCGAAGCTTACTTTAATGCCGTGAACGTAATTAGTGATAAGAAGATAAATAATAAAAAATATCCATTTAATCAATTATATAAGTTTATTATAAGTTTAAAAAATTAATTAATTTTATAGCATAATATTTTTTATTTTTAAAATTCTTGTTCTAATGTTTTGGTGACTCTTACTTCTTTCCCCGCCTGCCTTATCATTTTAACCCCTACCGACAATGTTGAATTCTCTTTACGAATCTCGTTTAGCTACTTTCGACTCATGGGTTTATGATGGCTCTGCCAATTGTACACGAGAAAAATTGGCCAAAGCTGGTTTTTATTGGATACCTTCCAAAGAAAAGGACTGTGTTCGTTGCTTCATGTGTAGTAAGGAATTAGATGGTTGGGAGCCGGATGTAAGCTTCATCCTTGTATTAGTTCATGCAATCGTGGCTTTGATCCGTTATTTTTGGATTTTAATTTGCACAGGACGATCCGATGGCTGAACACAGATCGCATTCCTCCGAGTGCCCTTTTCTATCCATGAAGCCTTTTGAAGATATGACAGTGGAGGAGGCTATTCATGCCTATCTTATCTGGTTCAAGTATCTTCTTTCGAGTAAAGAGCAAACATATATATCAAACTTTACTCTGGCACTTGATTCATACATTGATGAGTACAAGACTCGTCTTTACTCTTTGTGGGAAAGCGCCTCTTGTGATGGAAGTCCAAACAGGAAAAAGCGCAAGAAAGGTGCTGCTCAATCCAAAAAAGCTAATACTGATAAACCAGAGTCCCCCATTCGCCGTACTACACGAGCAAGAACAAAAAGATAACTGTTCTGTCTGAAATTCGAGAATCAGTCTCGATTTTGCTTTGGTAAATTTTTTTGTTGCTTCATACAGAATAAATTTTTTCACAAATGTTTATTTCATTCAGAGAGCTTGTGGCTTCTGCGTTAGCTAACCTTATTACAATTTTTAATCTTTATCATTACGAGTGAGATAAGTTAGCCATTATAGCGTAAAGCTTTTTTCCATTTTTCTCTACTAGCGTAGAGCGGCTTGAGGCGAAAAAATAAGCTAGCCTTCATTCTACTTGAAGCGGAAATTGGCTAATGCATACTAAGGGTTACTCCTACATGTGATGAAAACGGAACGCTCTGGTCAAAAAGCAAGTGTATTGTATGTTTCTATGTCGGGTTAGGCGCGTTATTGTCTCGTGTCAGTGGATGATCCTGAAATAGTTGGTACCTGAAAATAGGATATGGTGGGCTAATTTTACGCAGGTGCCAGCTTACCTGGAGGCAAATATAAAAGCAAGCGGTTTGATTTGGACGTACTATTCCATTAGTGAGTGTGCAGGGATTGATCATACTAGGTGGTAAGGGATTCCTGGCCAACCGACGATTGGTCTTACCGGATACCTTGTCGGCGTAATATCTAAGACAGCCTACTTTGATTCCGATGAATTCATACGAGGCTTTTGTCAGCTATGACTAAATTTACCCGAGCAGGTCACCATACTCTAGCTAGTAGGTCGAGATTGCCTACCCCAGGTGCCGTGTCTACGCTCTCTATTTGTGCTTTCTGATGGGGCATAAGTAATTTGTCTAATTATATGGCAATCTTTAAGCGCCTGCCTGTTCGGGTTTTTATGCGCCTCAATGCTTGGGTGCAAAATCTGAATAATAGTTCAAGGCGATTGATGCAGGTTACCAAGTCCGCTTTCAGACATCAAGATCACAATCGCCTCCCTTTTATGCTTTAACCGCTAGCCCGGACACATTCCTAGTTAAATTCATTGTTCGCTTTCTTCGTGCGCAAAAGAATGGATGTACTTAAGTAGCCGTAGTTTTGATCATGACTGAGGGCGATTGGTTAACTCGCTTGAATGAACGGGAGGGGACACATTACGTATGCACGAACTCTTAGCCATGATTCAGTGGGACAAGAAAACAGTGATCCAAGGTATTCTTCACAAGGTGAGCTTGACGTGTTAACGACTGTAACATTGCTACTGAGCAGATTTTATAAGACCTATTCACATTCCCCTTTAGGTCTCTCATACCCTCTACTACGTTGGGAATATTGATCCAAGACTGCCGTTTAGTCCACAAACCTCTTCCTCAAGATCTTATGATATTCTCTCTCTTGCCTATAGGGTTTTTACTCATCGCATTGTCCCTCGAAAACCATGAAGAGACGTGTACACTGTTAGATAGCTAGTTGGCTAATTGTAGATAAATAGATTCTTGAGACTATCAGTAAATCATTTATACATTAAATGCATTCATCCTCTTTCATTTAAGGTAATGTGGGGACTGGTAATTGAAATTTTTTCCACAATTATGTGAGTAGACCTTACATTTCCATCGAATTTCACATAGCCTTTCCTTCCCAAAAGGTTATCTTATCCCCGTTTGAGCGGACTGCATCTTCGACCTCTCTTAGGTCCTATAAATCCCCCCATCGGGCTGGAAACATGATAGTGCAGCATATAATCTCGACCATTTAACCACTACGACATATTACCATGGGTGCCTTTGGGTCTCAGGGAAGATGTAACTTTCAAGGAAGGCCAGACATTTTCCCATATCACATTCTGCGATGAGATTGTGGATAAAGCAAAGTTGAACTTGCTTTAGAAATCGACAGTGCTACTTAGCTTTCGTTTATAAGAATGTGATATGGGAAACTGTCTGGCCTTTCTTAAAATGTATATCTACCCTGTGACCTAAGTACACTGTGGCGTAGTTTTCAAAATGTCGAGGTTATGCGCAGCACTGTCATCGTTTGATTCCCGCAGGGGGCATTTATAAGACCTAGGCGAACCCGAAACGGCGGCCATCCTAGATAAGGATAACTCTTAATAAGCAAGTATAGGTGAAATTAAATGAAAATTTTAATTGTCTTTATGGGAAAAATTCAACAAACAGTCCCTTTATCACATTAAAAGAAATGGGGTGAATACACTTCATATGTATTACTTTTATCATAGACGTGGAACGTGAAGGGCTTTATCACGTAATTTACTCGGTGTACATACTGAACAATGATTAGGGAATCTGTAGCCTCAAGTTAAGTTTCCATGCTACTTAACAATTTTGACTCTTTTCTTGTATCAACACTCTCAGAATATTAGGGCTGACGATGGAAGAACCATCCGGGAGTGTGAGTAGGCCTCACGAAATCCGCTCAAAATGGCGCACTTCAACTAAGTTTAGACAAGCAATTTAGAATGTGTGATAGTCAATGTGTGTTAGGAGGATAGGTGAATACACCAGGCTAATAGCAGAGATAACAACTGCTTAGCAGAAAATTGGCCAAAGGAGTGACTTGGCCTGTCTCTTTGACGAGTTGCAGTATGATGCTAATAATGGCAAGGCTTACTGTCGATTACGACTACGATGCCGGCGAAACGTCTTGGAATGTATCACGTCCACAG